TGTGATTTAAAAAAATCTAAGTCTATCTGCGGTATGTGTCAAGGTTTATCAGGCAACCCCCTCCATCTAATAAAAATTATAGTTTTAATAAACTAAAAACACGCTTTCTATAGAAAACCAAACTAAAAAATAAAAAAATAAATTTGAAAAAGCGTGGGGTGCTTTTTACTTTTGACAACATTTTTTTTTTTTAATTAGTGTATTGTCATCGGTCCTCGATATATCTACAAAGTTTGAACGAATTCTGACCGTTTAAAGTACCAAACAAACATACAAGAGAAGCTAATATAGCGTGTAAAAAGGACTCATTCTTTCCGCGGAGACTATTGTGAACTAGTCGCAAACGTAGCCTCCGAATCTCACTTAAGACCCTACATTGAATATTTTCGAACTGTGTGCTCAGAAGTTTATCTCTTTTTTAAACCGTGCGTTTTTAATGTTGCTCTCCATCGTTATTTGGTGCCATCTGGTTTAAGCACAACGGTTTAGGATAAGTCTGATACATTATATTGATGATTTTTTTCAGGGAAATCCAAATTCAGTCTTCAAGGTTCACCATTTGGTTGCCCGGCCTGCTTCCGAAACACATTAACTGATCTGAGTAGACATAACATATGAAATGCCTGTTTGCCTCTACCAGCGATCGTTCGCATTATGCGGTACTGTGCGTTTTTCCAAAACACAACACAAACCAGATCTGACGAAGAAATTGTCTCCTCTGGTATACCGTATTCTTCAAACTTTCAAGAAAACAGTTGCTGCTCTGTTAAATTGCAAGTTGCGATAGACAGCGGTAGTCACTTTAAGTATGATTTACAAACGAACAGAAGACGTTCGTTTGTCCCTCATAAAATAATCATAAAATAAAAAATTAACGAATCGTGAATTTTTCAATTGACTCCTTTGATACGCATTATATGTTAATAGTTAGGTGACCTAACAAAAAATGCAGTTCGACTACTCATTTTTACACTGGACAGTATCTTCAATGATTTTTTCTTTCGACTCATATCGTTTTATTATAATTAATTTTAGTGTGGTGACGGATAAGAATACGGAATGTCACCACCCCTATTCATCCCGTGGGTGTCGTAAAAGTCGACTAAGGGAGCAAACTACGCAGAACAACAGCACTGCAAAGAGAAGGAAAACTTGTTACAAACCCTATACCAACCCGTCTGGCCTGCGTGGTATAGTAGGCCAAAACCTCCCTTCCAAGGAGAGGCCTATGTCCAGCAGTGGACTATTATTGCCTGTTGATAAATAAATAAAGGTTAGTTTATCACGTGTTTTTTTTTCGTAATATTTGCAGTTCTATGAACTCATTAACGAGCAATAAAACAAAAATAACAAAAAAATACTTGTTCTTTCAAAACAAGTTTTAGATTAGTATAACAAACATAATCAGAAATATGGTCGTTTGAATAATATTCACTGACGCTAGTCTCATAAAAAGTAAAAAAAAAAACTAATAGACAATTTAAAGACCTATACAATTATGTATTTGAGAATTTACGCTACATTCCTAAGGGTTGATACAATTAAGGCATGTAGTGACGAAAAGTATTTTAAAATACATATATTTCATCCAAAAATACTTCTCACACACAAAGCTGATTAGAGAGGAAACTATGCCATTAATAGTCCACTGCTGGACACAGGCCTCTCCGTAGTAAGGTTAGCCACGCTGACCTGACAGGTTTGTAGAGGGTTTGTTTAAAGTTTTCCTTCTTTTTGCAATGCTATTGTCCTGCGTAGTTTACTCCTTTAGTCGGCTTTCACGACACCCACGGGATAAAAAGGGGGAGATGACATTCCGTATTCTTAATCCATTTAGATTAGAAATATATTAAATTAATTAATATAATTTTTAGAATATGTGAATTAAATACAGCATTAAAGCCAATTATTAAAAGCCTAGCTTTAATAATGGGCCTTATTTGTGACCCTCGGCCTTAGGAGGAGTCTATTAAGTTTTAATTTAATTTTGAATATTTCCAGATTGTTTATCTAATTATGTATACTCCAAGACCACATGTGCAACGTGGTCCGAAGAAAGCCTGAGAGCGCGGGAATTAATGATGATTCTATTGTTTCAAGGCTTTATTTTGTTATCCTGTTTAAATAAAGCCTTTAAATAAAGTTTATTGAGTTTTTTGAGCGACGTTTTAATTTGCTAATTTTGTTTTGTATACACAAGATTTTTTGTATAATTCTTTATTTCTTTACGACTTCAAATCGGACTAGCAATTTATGCCAAATTTGTTTTTTTTTGTCAATTTATAATAATATATCTCACACATTGCACAAGGCCGTCTGATCCCAAACTAGGCAGAGCCTGTACCATGGCACCCAGACTGCTGATAAACATACTTATATATTTATACCCAGACACAGAACAAATGACCGTGTTCATCACACAATTTTTTTCCTGGGTGGGACTTGAACCACGACCTCCGGTATAGCTGTCAGGTTCACTAACCACTAGACCAACAGGCCCGTCACACCAGTTATTTATTAAAAGGCGAGGTGATTTACACATTTTTATAAAATTTAAACTAAAAACCACATTCACATACATAATTTAAATTTATAGGCTTTATTAAGTCGCTGTGATTTAAATAGGCCAAAGGCTAAGGTTCCAAAATTACCTCTGTTTAAGTGATTTTTAATAAAAGTTTATAATATTTTTTCTTAATTATTAAAGTAAAGAATGATAACCTTCCTTTTATTTATCGCCTTCTTCAAATATTTATCAAGATTTTATGACCGTTTGAAATAATGTAGGCCTTATCTGTATCATTTAATTTACTACATTCCTACTTCTGTAAATGATTTCGTATCCAAACTTAACGTAGTGTCAGTTTTACCAGATTCAAGACAGATGAACTATCGTCCTAAACAGGGAAATGCGGCTTCATCATAGTTTGTTTAAACATCACGTAACTGTTTGTCATGACTTCAAGATTTATGAGATTTTTGCAAGAGTTTGTAAGCTATGTGTTATATATATCTCTATATATAAAAATTTCAAGTTGGTTTGACCGATTGAGCCTCAATTTTGACACTCTGTAATGACGACCCGCTTTAATGATTGTTTTTTGTTTTTTTTTTTGTTAAAATGGATGTCCAAAAGACGTAAAAACGTACTTGTAAAATGTAGTTACGTTAAATTTTTTACCACGAAAAAAGAACCCTTATTAATATGGAAGCGTATTGGTTTTTCTATATGACCTAACGATATACTTACAAAACTGTACCCAGGAGGTAGAATGTGTTTTTTCGTGACAAAATACGCATTTTTTTTCCTTAAACGAATGTTACTATTAGCAATGAGCTAGAGCTAAGAGTTGGATGGTATTGGCCAAGAATTGTGCTTATGTTAAACTTGATTGAGATGAAATTAATAATTTGGAAAATAAATGTCAAATTCAAATGAACTGACGTGTTATCTAAACAAATAAAAAAAATTAAAGTAGGTATCTGTTTGTAATGCCAAAATAATAGGTTTTTTTATGCTTACACGGTTATTTAAACGATAAACGATACTTATGCCTAAAAACCAGTTTAAATATTTTTTGTCCGTCTGTATGACTGTTTGTTCGGGTAGTCTTCTAAACGGCTGGACCGCTTTTGATAATATTTTACTACCAGGTGGCTGTCTATGTAAGGAGTAACTCAGGCTATTTTTCATTTCAGAAAAACCCGGTACGGGAATCGAACCCCCCACTAAGACAGTGCTTTTCAAATTACACGCGAACGAAGAGGTGGACACCAGCTAGTCATTATATGTATAAGTAATTAACGCCGTCCTAGACATGCATCTTAACAGAGAGAAGTTAGACTACAGTACTAGTTAGTTACCAGTCAGAATGAACTGCCAGCGTTTCCTAGTCAAAAAATTTTACCTTTGGAACATCTAAGAATTGAGTCAATAAGTTTCTTCAGAAAAAGCATGTACCATTATTATTTTCCTCGTTTCTTTCCACAAAATTCCAAGAAACGCCTAATCCGATACCGAATAAAAACAAATTAATAAATCAAGGTAAATTATTTGGAATTCCAAATACAAATTTATTTTATAGCATACTCGTAGTATAAAAATACATATGCTGCAAAACCAGTTTTTTTTTTTGGAATACTAGTTCTAGGCAACGTGTCACCGGTGGCATACAGTTATAGTGTTATAGTATAAAATTATATAGACCACAACAATCAAGACTCGTTTTGGTCTGAGGGGCTCGTCGTTAATCACATCACATCATCAGCCTTTAATAGTCCACTGCTGGACATAGACCTCTCCTTAGAAAGGAGGTTTTGGCCTGCTATACCACGCTGGCCAGACGGGTTGGTATAGGGTTTATGTCAAGTTTTCCTTCTTTTTGAAGTGCTGGTGTCCTGCATTTTTTTTGCGCTCTTAGTCGGCTCTTACGACACCCACGGGATGAATTGGGGTAGTGACATTCCGTATTCTTAATCCGTCACTACACGGACAACAATCGTGGCTAATACGAACACACAAATAACACATTGCAAAGTTAAACAATTCTAGCCAAGTCAGTCTCTGTGTCTTGAAGAGCATGTTCAGCAGTCGGTCCCGGTTGCCATACGAACATCTTTGGCAATCATTACGGATAGTTGTAGTACTAAACGTGCGACAAAAGTCTTTCTACAGAACTTCGATATAGCCTAGGAATTCGTTTGTGGGGTCTGAAGGCAGTCGCTCCGAGTAAAAAATCGAAGTTCAGCTGTAGACTTATACCAGACTGGAAGATAAACCAAGAGAAGCGAGTGCTTTATCCATTGATTGACACTATACTTAAAGCGGATTCATTTTAGAACTCGCTCCTGAATGTAAGACAGCAAAAAGTAGGACAATGCTCCTGGTGTTCTTTTTAACGTCAGCCGTCAGCCATCATACTTTCAATTGGCTATTGGCCAAAGTCCGAACTCTCTAACTTCTTTAGCGTAAGTATAGTTAAAAAATTAGGGTAACTTACCAATGAAAGGCAGTGAAGTGAGGATCCCCTTCTGCGTGACGGTGAGGTCAAGATCACAGGCTGCTGCCACTACTAGACTGAGGCCAAACATGTCCATACCGATTGCCAAGAGTATTAGCGCGCATGTCAGTGCCAGCAGAACATTGTACAGGCCATTCCCTAAAAACAAAAGATTTTTTCTTGATTATAATAAAACAGATGTATTGAGTTTTTCCAATACAGTGGAAAGATCCTTTGACTAGGCAAAGTGATTATGACTGGTCGGCAGCTCTGTAATGGTTAATATTAGTAAGTTATATCTAATTCCGTCCGTCCGTGTGGTGACGGATTAAGAATACGGAGTGGCGCCACCCCTATTCATCCCGTGGGTGTCGTAAGAGGCGACTAAGGGAGCAAACTACGCAGGACAACAGCACTGCAATGAGAAGGAAAACTTGACACAAACCCTATACCAACCCGTCTGGCCAGCGTGGTATAGTAGGCCAAAACCTTCTTTCCAACGAGAGGCCTATGTCCAGCAGTGGACTATTAAAGGCTGTGAAATAATGATGATGAAAGAAGAAGAAAGAAAGAAAATTTATTGGCACATACAAAATTCCTTACAAAAAGTGCCAACAGTGATTGGCGCAAGAACTTTCATTGCGCAATACAGGATTAGTAGATTCGCTCTGTAGTTCGATGTGTCTTCTTTAGATGGCGTTAAAGTACGAGTTAGTGTTTCCTTGTATATGGACGTTGCTACAAATGTATATCCTTCCATTTTACGTGACTATGGCATCAGCAGGGCATGGAGCGAAAATACGCACGAAGCTCAAGACCATTCAAGATAGAGGTTTGCTGTGAATGCGTTCTGCCTATCCAGGAGACATAGGGCATAAAATGACTATGAGGCAATAACTTACCATGATTTTCTTTCCCTATGTACTAATTTTGTAAGAGTGTGTAAAAATAAGCTATAAACGAATCAGGTTTTTGTCATGAGAAGTTTAAAGGCATATAATAAAATTAAAAAAATTTCCGTTACCAACAATTTGTATTAGACTCTGTTTCACATTGCTTTTATATTGTTCTACTTTCTGAGTATGGACATTAACATGTTTATAACACTTGTTCTAACAAAAAAGTGACGTCAACCATTTATTTAAAATTACAACTAAACATGAATAATCATTCACAATGTCTTTTATTTATTCAATGTATTTACTGTATTTTATGTACAATAGAACCTAATACCGTATAGGACAAATAGAATAATTATAACATACTTTGATTCTAAGGAAAATTATGATTGTTTTAAGTTTGTCATGTGACTGATTTGAATAATATCTCAGACAACTCACACACGGCCATCTGATCCCAAGCTATGCAGAACCTGCACTATGGTACCACTAATAAACATACTTATTTGTTTTTTAAATACATTGATATTTTAGATTAATTACACCCAGATAAAGAACAAATGACCCAGCTCATCACACAATATTTGTCCTGGGTGGGAATCGAACCCACGACCTCTGGCGTAGCAGTCAGGGTCATTAACCACTATACCAACCGGCTTAGGAGAATTACTATTGGTTATTTATATTTCTGCTTTAGAACGTTAACGCAATGGTGATTATTGCAACAAAACATGGTTATTATAGCCTACCTATAATATTTAGATATGCCTCTTTGCGAATTTTTTTGTGCGTATTCATGAGTTTTTTCACAATATTTCGCATTTTTTAAACAAATATGTTTGGCACATTTTGCTTTAAATTATCTTCATTGTAATAGGAAAAAATATATCTTTTCAAATTAATAAAAATATAGCATATGTTACTTGCTGATAATGGTGATTCTAGAGGTGAAAGAATTTTTAAAATCAAACCAGTAGTTTCGGAGCCTATCCATTACAAACAAACAAAAAAGATTATTAGTAATTGTATAGAAAAGAAAAACTTATAAACCTTTTTTTTTTTTGAAAAAGACAACTCCCGCATTACGAATAAATCCTGTGTCGCGGGGGACTTTACAAACATACATGAAACGGACACAAAGAACACCCAGACTCAGAACAACAATTCCGGTCCCGGTGTCGTTCCATGTGGGGTTTGAACCCACAACACTCGGCGAAGTAGGAAGCGGCGTGGCGACCGCTTAAACCACTACGCCATCCGTGCAGTCGTTTCATCCTCATTATCTGTATAGTTGGCGCTCCACTACTGTGCTCTTTTCGAGACACTTTTTGACCCGCACAACCAATCTGCGTAACGGGTTATCGTCTGCGGTATTTCCGACCCGATACGACCTTCAAACCTTCAAGAAAAGAGCGTACTCCTTCCTAAAAAGCCGGCAACGCGTTTGTGACTCCTGAGTTGCAAACGTTCATGGGCGGCGATGCTCTCTTTCCATCAGGTGACCCGTCTGCTCGTCTGACCCCTCTACCATAAAAAAAAAACCAAACGCATAAAAAATAAAATTTACTGATGACGAAATGTCTAAATAGTCGTAGTTAGATATTTCATCGAATTGAAGATAAATTATTAGTCAACTTTTAAATAAAGCATGCTTCTAAATTGGTCAAAACGTTACTCTATCCCCCAAACTACGACTAGACTGTCGCCTCTAGAGACCTGTCAACCCCTGCATGCACCGTAGGCCTTTTTTTTTGCCGGAGTGGTAAATCCCTTCGGATCTCCTGCTCCTCGGTGACTCAGGAGCCAGGAATATGTGGTGATTCCACTAAAAAATTCCCGACGGCCGCCCTCAGGTGACCTACTCTGGGAGGAATGCACCGTAGGCCTAGGGCAAACAAGCGGATACTACGGATATAATAATATTAAAATTTCAGATATCTGACACACAACGCCATCTAGTTTCAAACTAAGCAGAGCTTGTACTATAAAAGCTAGATTGACTGATAGAATACTCACATACTTTTTTTTGTGAATACATACATATAATACATAGAAACCACCCCAACTCCGAAACAAATATTTGCAGATCATACAAACATTTGGTCTGACCCAGGATCGAACCCGAGATCCCTGCACAGCAGTCGTATACGCTACCACTGCACGTCCGAGGCAGTCATATTGATGTATCTTATTTCCTTTTTTTTCTATTGCATACTATCTTTTGCTTATGTTGTTTAACGCGGTAAAAAAGCCGGTTAGGTACGAGAGTATACAAAAGTGTAAGTTACTTTCGCCATAATAAATATAAGTAAGGATAATTTCGTATGGTATTCTACTATAAGGAAAATCCAACGATATTTAAACTCGAATAAATCTCGTTCACAGAAGACCGCATAAAATAAACTAGTTTTGCACCCAGATTCCAAAACATCACCAAGTCGTTTTGAGGTCAATGTACGTGATTTAATAAAAAGAACCGTAGTCGGAGATCGTAATGATCGGGAAATACTGTAGACGACAATTTGTTTCACAGTTGTTGAAGGCAAAATGCTTCTTAAAAAGCGCACAATGGTAGATTGTCAATTATCCAAGGAGGTGGATAATTTTCCGCTTTGAACGATGGCAACAGGCTGTTGCTGGACTAAGTGCGAGCAACCTCTTGGAGCGGTATCCGTAATACAATTGACAACGAATGTAGAAGCTTCATCTCTACGCAAAAGCAAAGGGCCAAACCAATCGAAAATATACTGACAATACACGATTCAAGCCGATCTCCGTAGAATATAGGCTTAAATTGGACGAATTGAAATCCCACCCAGTACACTACAGACCTGAGAACATTAGCAATATCGTTTAGCTTAGCTGCTGGCTAAAAAGATTATCATATATCTTGTATGATAAAAATGCTGTTTTTTTAAATAAGTAAGAGATAATTTATTTATCATATATATAAAAGTGTATTTATTTGTAAAAGGAGTGCACTGTTGTGTTGTTGTTTTACTAGTCTATTTAGGACTAACATTATACTGCCAAAAGTCAAATTTACATTTTTTTAAATGCGTTAATATTATAACTAAGTACTACAAGTATGTTAAACGAATAAACTTTTCCATACCTTCATAGGTTTATTTTAGTTTTGTAAAGCCATATTGTTGTTTTCGCTGTTTTAAAAATCCTCGTCCGTGTGGTGACGGATTAAGAATACAGAGTGTCAGACTATACTATTGATCCCGTGGGTGTCGTAAGACGCGAAAAGAAAAATCTCCTCAGAATAACAGAGCTGCAGACAGAAAGAAAACTTGACACAAACCCTATACCAACCCGTCTGGCCAGCGTGGTATAGTAGGCCAAAACCTTTCTAAGGAGAGGCTTATGTCCAGCAGTGGACTGTTAAAGGCTGTTGATGATGATGATATGAAAAATTCTTAGACAGGAAATCAGAACTCAAAATTTCATCAGACAGTACAACTGTTAACAGTAGTAATACTGACCAGGCAAGCTTCCTACTTCATTCATTGATACTCTTTGAAGTGAGCAATGCCAAGATCCTGCAGCTTCGCCCGGACTGTCTTTTATTTCAACAAGCGTGAATCGACAATATCGTCGGGTATTAACCTGATCGGTTCCTCACGCTTATAAGTCTCGCTTAAAACTACGGAGTATTTCCTTGTGTATTCAAAAAGTTAAATAATCACTTTCCTTTCAATACTAACAATAAGACATAAGTAGTGTCCAAAGTTATAGGCCATCATCATCATCATCACTATCAACAGCCTTTAGTAGTCCACTGCTGGACATAGGCTTCTCCTTAAAAAGGAGGTTTTGGCCCACTATACCACGCTGGTCAGATGGGTTGGTATAGGAATTGTTTAAAATTTTCTTTTGCCGTTGCCCTACGTTGTTTGCTCCCTTAGTCGGCTCTTGCGACACCTACGGAATGAAAAAGGGTAGTCCTTAAACCGTCACCACATCAAATGGTATGGTACGCTATATAAAATACTGGTTGTTGTCTTTTTTTAAAGAAAAGAAAAAAGTACAAAGAATAGAATTTCACAAAGACAGAAAAGATGACTATTAAATAAAGTTCCATCTTGCGAAAATTGTGCTTCAAAATATTTTCGATACCCGCCAGAGAGATAGATACATAGAAAATACTTTTTGTTTACTAAGGTTTTAAAGAAACTTAAAACACACAAAGGACGAGTTTACCATTTAGAGCAATGTTAGGGTAGTAGTTTTGCAATAAAAGTCATAAAATCT